TGCCTCTGTATGTCACAGAATGTCTGGAAAATACAGGCAAATAATTAGCATTGACATCCAGTCCAAATTGTAATGCACTGATTATAGGGCTGGCAAATAAGAATTATTATGTAAAATCTGGCTATACAAAAGGTTAAGAAGCTACATAAGATCCAGACTGTTATTAGTAATACATGACTCTAACTCCCATATTTGACCAAAACTTGGGAGAAATTCTTATGTTTCAATGTGACCTCATATTACAAGCATGTAGAGAAACTTAAAGAACTTTATTACTGGGTTGAAACTGCCAAAGCAGGCACTGTGATTGAAATGGCAGAGGGTGAACATGCTGTCTGCAGTCTCCAGGTGTTCTTCTATGCAGGCTAGACTGAGCAGCACTGTCTCACAGAAATCTAAGGGCAAAAAGCCCTTTGTTGCCACTTTATATTTTCTTTCTGTTCCATAGAGGCATCTCCTAGGTTAGAAACTCTGTCCCCATTTCTAATTTCATTAAATAAGGTTGAGAAAAACTTGATTCTGTCAAATTCCTGAATGACACAGCATTTGTGTTTGTGGGTTCTTCTCTAATTTGGAGATTAGGGGCTTTGATTAGCATTTGAAGCCCTTGCTCTCTTCTCACCAGTCCTGGAATTCACAGCTTGTTTGCTGGAGCTTTATAAAATAACGTGTTCTCACCAGAATTCTTTTCTTCTGCTTTTCCTATCTCCCTACACACCCCTAATCCCTGCCTTTGTTGGTTTCAAATTTGGAAGTTAAAAGAAAAAACAAAAGAACTTTCCTCCCATGGCTTAAGAAAAATTTCCTGAGATTAAGCTGCCTTATCTAACTACATAGATTAAGTCATATTTGGTATATCTTAAATACATATTATAAGGTCATAGATATAAAATTCTGCTCTATCAATTCAAAAAGGACCTATCTCTAGAATATAAAACAGACAGAGATTTACATAAATTACCATATTAATACATGCATTAAAAAGTCACAATTTATCAAAACTGGAATGATGAGGAAATGCTGGAGCAGCAAAGCTTCTCGTTTTCACGTTGCTCACATATTTACTCTGCGGTAGGAAGGGCCAGTTATGAGTGGGGAGGGCTCAGCCTAGTTCTTATTCTCAACTTCTGAAATATAAGGGAGCAAATCTAGAAAAAAAAGTCATGTTTGGCTGGAGCGGTGATAGACCCTAGAAAAAACCCTACCCTGTCACTTCCCTAGATCAATGTAATCTTTTACTGTACTCTAAATACATATTCTTATATTTACAAATAAGTATACCTCTTACTGCTCATCTTTTTGCAATTGATGGGAAGAGTATTATGAATTTTCACAACTGGTCAAACAAGAGAATAAGTGACTATGAGGTGCCCAGACTTAAGTTACACGTCTACATTGCAACCTCTACACTTAAGGCTCAGGGAATACTGTCGAAGAGGGGGTGGAAAGAATGTAAGAGCCAGAGGGACAAGACACTGCTGCTAGTTAATGCATTCTAGACATACTAGGGAAGCTGCACTAATGAAATCTCCACAGTATGGCAGTCTAACAATATCTGTGTAATGTCAAACTTAGTTGACATGCCATGGTGGATGGGGGGAATGCCACAGGGTCTCATGTCAAGATAAGATGTGTGCAGAGGAAGACAGAATCAGTTTTCTCTAGGGACTAGCTCCCTGAGAGATTATCTAATCCCAAATGGACAGCCCTAAACACAGGTACACATGAGAACCACTAAATGGAATTAAGTATATATTTATAAATGGGTGCATGTATATGTAACAATGCTAAAAAAGTTGAGAGGGAGTGGGGGACATAGAAGGAGCTGGTGGAGGACTGGAAGGGATGGACATAATGCAAAGAAAATATTCATAAATGAAATTCCATAAAATAAAAAGATTAAAATTGTTTAAAAAATACTGAGAATTTCAAGGGAAAAAAGTCATGTTTCATATCAAGCTTTGTGGAATTCAGGGTGTGAGGTTAAAAAAAGGGGGTTTGAAAAGAGATGGGACTTTGGATAGAATGGGGGTCAAATATTTGTTGTACTATTTGCAAATATAAAAAGACTATTGTGACATTTTAACATGAACGTTTAGATGAGAAATGTGTTAAGGGGACATAGGCGCTTCACCACCATCTCACTTCAGTGACAGTGAAGCCATGGATTTGAATAGCAAACTTGGGGCCCTAGCAAGGGCAAGAGGGGCAAGGAATCTCAGGGGAAGGAGAGATAGAGAGATGTGAGTTGATATTGAGAGGGCCAGGAGAGCGGCTTTACTAGCTGCAGTTACTTAGCGTGTTAGTCAGCCTACAGCACTCCTTGGTGGAGTTGTTTAAGGCAGCTTTCTACAAAGTGGCTGTTTCACAAGGGTGCTCGAAGGAATCATTTCCAGTTTTCTTCTATTCCTAAAAAATTCTTTAATTTGTCCTTTCTAACATCTGTTCTTTAGTGTTTTGTCGTTTGCATTGTGTATTGACAGAAAGGAGTATGATTATTATTTATCAATAAATAAGTGAATATTTGTAATAAAGAATTTTGCTGACAGTTATGCTAGTGAAATGACTCAAGATAAAAGCTGGTCATACCAGGAAGCCAAATATGCCATTAAACAGTTGAATTTTGAGTCATGTGGTATCAGTATACCAGCAAAGAGATAAGGTAGATTGGAAAATGGTCTATGATTCAACCACTGTGTGATGTTATGAAACTCTAGTAAACCACTGGGCACCAAAGCTTAGGGGAAGTTCCCTGGTTGTCAGCACTCTGCGTATGTGATGGCTGATCCTGGGTGTCAACTTGACTGGATCTGGGATTAACTGAAATGAGAGAGACCTTCTTCATTGGATCATCTGAAGCTGGAAAACACACCCTAAATGTGGGTGTCACCGTCTGAGGGCAGCCCGTATAAAAGGCCATGGCAGAGGAGAATGTCTGGCTTCTTGCTGCTTGCCTTCTCTCTCGCTGGTGAGTTCATCTTGCTGCTGTAGTCTGAAGACTAGCCGAGCTTTTGGAATTCATCAGAACTTCAGTGCTACATTAGGACTACTGAGACAACCAGACTCATGGACTGAGTGACTACCGGATTCTCAGCCTCTCCAGTGTGGTGCAGCCACTGTTGGACTACTCAGACTCTATCCTGTGAGCTAAGCTGATAAATCCCTATCTATCTATCTATCTATCTATCTATCTATCTATCTATCTATCTGTCTGTCTGTCTGTCTGTCTGTCTGTCTGTCTGTCTGTCTATCTATCTATCACACACGTGTGTGTGTGTGTGTGTGTGTGTGTGTGTCCATTCTACCAGTTCTGTTTTTTTAGAGAACCCTGACTGATACAGCATATTACCACAGACAATATGTGAGGAGAGTAGCTTACCTCCCCCTCAGGACCTCAGAAGCTCCGTATTTGGAACCATTCCAGATCCCACTCTATGCATCTCTCTGTTTGCCTGGTTCTGATTTGTATCTGTTTGTGGTGGTTTGAATAAAAATGTCCCCCATAGGCTCCAAGTGTTTGGATGATGCCGCTGTTTTGGGAGGTTTCAGAAGGTGTGGCTATCCTGGAGGAAACACATCACTGGGGATGGGCTTAGAGAGTTCTTAAGTTTGCCAGATCACCAGTCGCTCTCTTCTCTCCTGTGCCTGCTGGAAGATGTAGAGCTTAGCTTCCGCTTCTTTTCTCCAGCCACCTCTGTCGCCATGCTTCCCCACCAAGATGGACTGTAATTCCCCTGGAACCGTTAGCTCAATAAATTCTTCCTTCTATAAATTGCTTGGGTCAGTGTTTCTATCACAGCAACAGAAAAGTCACTAATACACTGTTCATTGTAATAAAACTTAATCATGAATATTGTACTTTCCTGAGTTTTGTGGGCTATTCTAGTGCATTGTTAAAGTTGACCTAAATCATGAGAAACTCCAAATTTTTTGTTAGCTAGTTTGAAGCACTGGGGAAGCAAAACTTGTGTTTGATATTTGAATTGAGGACAAATTTGTAGAAAATTGTGCTCTCAACCTTGCTTTTGGCTATCTCTAAGAAGATATATATTGCAGTGACTATTCAAAAGAGTTTAATTACTAAGGGTATTTTCTCAAAATAACTTGAAAATCACCTAGGCCTTGTGAGATCTCTTCCCTGTCTTCCCATCTACTAATTGCTGCTTTCACTATGCTATGGGAGAGAAAACTATTTTAAAAGTCATTGTTACTTATCAAGGAAAATTAGATTATGGGCTACAACAGTCTTTACATGAGAACGGTTCTATGTAGTATTGTATGAGTAGAGGCATAAGATTGAGGTTGTGGGGTCTATAACAGATGATTGGGCTGCTTATAACCACTCTTGTTTATAACCTGACTCTTGTTTTTGCTTTAGAAGTTGGAGATTCAGAAAGGAAAGGTATGTGAGAATACTTCCTATAGGTCCTGCCTGAAATGAGTGGAATTACACACAATCACATACCATTTGGTCTGTGGGGACCAAAGTAATCTTCCAATAACTAATGTGTTATTACTAAATTTTTCTTTTGAATAATTTAACTTGTTTTGTTTATGAAGTGAGTTTGTAAAGAGTGAGCTGGCTTATACGATTGTTAATTAGGATAGTTAAGAAACTGAATTGCAAAAAAAGGACAAAATATACCCCAATGGTAAAGGAACAAACGAGCTGCAGAATTCTCCTGTTAGAGTGAAGAGTCCTACGTTCAGCAAACAGCTTCACAGATTCGAAACTAAACGAAGACAGGGCCTGGGTTGAAGAAGAGTGGGTATTTGTTCTTATTCCACAATGTAATGGCTTCTGATTGACATGCTGGCCAAACAGACTGTGAGGACCAGTGCAATGTACCAGACAATATAAAACATATTCCTTGAGGTTAGGAAGAATACTAGATGGAAAATGTGCTCATGATGGAACCGAAAATGCTGGGGGAAGATTCAAGTAAATCACAAGCAAACTACCATTCTTCCTAAAGCCTCAAACTCTGTCTTCTATTCAGGACCATCAACAATCTCAGAGCTTTGGTTGCAAACAATAATCAACAGCACAAGCATCCATCTACCCAGTTGAAGATCCAGGGCCGAGGTAAATCTGTTAGAAAGCACTGGTATTTGAATTAAGTTCAGGAAGTATATTTCCGGAGTTCAAATGACACAAACAAAGAGTAGTTACGTTTACAGAATGCTGTCTATTCACGAGTTTAATATTTTAATTTAATCTCTAAAATTCTCTGTGTTGCCTAACTGGGGAAAGGCAGTGTCTATGGTTAGATGTCCACTAGAATTTAGCTTCTGGTCTTCACATTAGTGTCAACAATTAAGGAATATTATCATGTGTACAGCACAGTGGAGGTTAGTTTGCTAAGAGAACACAGAGTTATACTGGATAGATGTTTCTCTTGATACTCATTGCTTCTTCTGTATTCAGAATCCTCATATTAACCACTGATACATGCTTCAAGCCGTCTGATCTTTACTGCATCATACACATGTGTAAATATGCATAATTCTCTGTGACTAGAGTATAAACTCAAGTCTACTTCTTTGAGCTAAGTAGATATTAAGTAAATGAATACTTAATTAAGAAACCTCTAATTCAAGGTTTTGCTATCTGCATTCTTCACAAAGCTATTTTTTATGTCAGTCAGTGCCCAACCAATCTGGGGAATTCACTTGAAGTCAGAACTAAGAACAATAAATGGAGTGAATTAAAAAAAAAAAAAAAAACAGTGCTGGGGAGATAGCTCAGTTGGTCAAGGTGATGTGGCCCTTAATCCCACCACTGGGGAAATGTAGATCAGTGAAAGAAAGATTACAAACAAGGTAAGTATCACCTGAGAAGCACACACATACACAAACATACCCCCCTCACACACACACCACACATGCACACACAGCAACAGAGCCTAGAGACAGAAAGTTGGTTGACCAGACAGGAATAGAAGTAATAGAAAGAGACTTCTGACATGAGGCTGTGAGGGCTGAATAGATAACTTGCCACAGATGATGGATGAGGTGATATTTTTGGCTTTTTTGAGGTTTGTACTTTTAATTTGTACCAACACATTCCACAAATACAAATGCCCTTAAAACAGGACAAAACAGCTTTAGGAATAGAATGTGCTACAAAAACCAACAATAACTACAATAACCCAATCTGTAAGGTGAGGAAGTCCACCTCAACTATCCCCTGTATCTTTTTGGGAAGGGGAGGAGTCTCACTGTGTTAGGTGAAGTTCTGGTGAAATCCATACTTCCTCCTTGTGTGATTTGAAATAAGGGTATTGTTTGTTTTCTTCACAGTCTTCTGATACCATCTGAGCTGTCATTGGTTCTATGCAGAAAACATCAACCCCTTGTCTCTGGACCTGCACTTAACTATGGAAGCTAAAATGGATAAGATCCAAATTTACACACTTCTCTTTCTGTCATTTATATAGACATTCATTTGACCAATATTTATCAAATATCTTGTAGGTGCCAAGAACTATCCTAGACCAGAGAATATAATGCTGCGTAAGAGAGACAGCTAACCTCTTCCCATGAAGCTTGAATTTGTGGTGAGAAGACAGCCAAAAAACATGGTTAGTAAGTCAATTATAAATATTATAATAGGTTATTAGTGTTAAAAAATAAAACATGAAGCAGAGGGATGGGTCAGGAGTACTACAGAAGCACAGCGTGAGTAGTGTGTGAGGTAACAGAATGGACTTCCCGAGAAGGAGATATTATAAAGCAAGCATAAAGGAGGTGGGGGGGGTCAACAAGCTATCTGGGAAAGAGCCCTCCAGGTAAGGGCACAGCAGATGCAAAGGCTGTGAAATAGAGACATGCCTCATTTTCTCCAGAAATAGCAGAGACACTGCTGGGGATAGACAGGCAAGAGAGAGGTAAAGGAGCAAGCAGCACGGTTGGAGAAGCAGTGTGTGTGGAATCCTGCAGGCTATGGGAAGGGCTGTGGTTCCAGTCTAGGAGAAAGGAGATGCTATGAAGATTTGGATTTGAGGGATAATATGATCTGATCTATGTTTTGAAAGACTTTCTCTACCTGCTATTCTGGGAAAGATTCTGGAAACCAAGCAGTGGTGGAGCCATGGAGCCCTTTAAGACTGTTGTAAGAATCTAGATAGGAAAAGAGGAAGGTATGGACAGGTGGCAAGAGTTAGGTTGAATCATTTTTTTACTGAGCAAATTATGACTCCCAGTACCTATGAGTGTGACTTTATTTAGAAAGAGTCTTTGTGGATGACCAAATTAACATGAAGTCATCAGGGTACAATATGGCTGTGTCCTTCTGGAGAGCAAAATATTTGAGGGGGGAGAGAGAAGAGAGAGAGAGAGAGAGAGAGAGAGAGAGAGAGAGAGAGAGAGAGGATGATGTAGACACATACACATTAGGTTTTTATCATTGTGACCAAAATACCTGATAGGAAAAGAAGAGGAAAGATTTACTTTGGCTCCTAGCTTCAGAGGTTTAGTACATGGTTGTTTGGCCTTTTGCTGGTAACCAGAACATCATGGAGACAGGAGCTTGGGGCAGAGGAGAGCAGAAAATGAGATAGGAAGCAGCCAGAGACAAGACACAACCAAGTACCAGCCCCAGAAACCTACCTCCTTCAGTGGAATTCCACCTCCTATAATACCCACAATTTCTCAAAATAGTGTCACCATCCAAGGACTGAAGAGGTCAAATGAGCCCATGGGAGATATTATATAATGTATGTTTGCTATTTAACCTACCAAGTTTGTAGCACTTCGGTAAAGCAGCCCTTGCTATTTAATACAAATGGTGGGAGTATGACGTTATAAAAATATTGCTGGCTCTCATTCTTTGTGGATGCCATATTTGTTAATTTACCTATTTGCTAAAATGTCTTTGCTTTGTAACCCTAAAATTGCTACATGTGGTGTTTTCAGGGACTTTGGCAGACATCATTTTTTAAAATGTATTAATTTTTGAGAATTTGAGATATGCGTTCAAATGCGTTTTGATAATATTCACTCTCCATACCTGAAACTGGGCTTTTTAGTTGGCAATGATGGCTTCTGGGAGGACCATTATCCCTTGTGTAGGGTAACTTAAAACTTGACTCAGTAGGCCTTAACATAATGTATGAAATATGGTAGAAGGCTATGGGGGGTGCAGATGGGAGTGTCTCAATATGATTAAGATGTATTATATGAAATGCACAAAATTCAATAAATTGTATATTAAACAATATTTTGTATGAAAAAAATGTATGAAGCTTATAAAATAGTAAGTTTCCATATGGTGTTTTCAAGCATTCTCAGTGTTATTATAACTTTCCCCATGTAACTGTAGGAAACCAGAAAGATGTTATTTGGTGGTTTGTGGTATGGGGGAGTTATCTTAAGGGAGGCCGGGTAGTAGAACATAGGTGATATAATAGGAAAGGGGGAATAACGGGGGGATCACACACATTTCTAGCTGATGTTGAACAAAGCCATACTCTGACTTTTGTTTCAGTCCTCACGGTATAAACAAGCACACGTTCACACTATAGTGCCACACTCTTCCCTTTTTTGTGCTTTTTGTGTGTTTGTGCTTGTGTGAATTTACTGTTTAAAGTGGTCCCCAAGCATAGTGATATAACATTGCCTGTTTTTTTTTGTTGTTGTTGTTTTTTGTTTGTTTTTTTTGAGCACAGGAAAGCTGTGATATGTCTAGTGAAGAAAACATGTTTGTTAGATAAAGATGTCCCAGGCCTGAGTCATGGAACAGTTGGTCAGGAGTTCAATAATATGTATTCAATAAAATGTCTTTTGGTAGAAACATATATAAACTGTGGTTATCAATCATTTGGCAAAAAGTTGTGATCATGGAATACAAGAACCCAGTATTATATTACCTGTATGACACAATAATTCAGCAAAAATTTGTTAATTCAAAAGTCATAGCAACATTACAGGGCATACTGTTGTGAGTAATGAAAATAGACTCCATTCTGAAATTAAATCTGAAATACACAAACATGTGAAGTCTGAGAAAAGGAGGATTATGGGTAAACTCCAAATCTTTGGAGCTGTTAACATGGGAAAAACAATGGAGAGAACAGCATTTTTGTTGGTTTGTTTCTTTCTTGAAAGAGCCATGGAACTAGGGGGGCATTTATCTTCTGAGTAAAAGGAGTTTAAGTTGGACTTTAAGTACAAGAGAAATGTTTTACAGATGAGTCAGACCAACAATAGGAAACATAGCCATCATTGCCATTATCATGCAGAGAGAAAGGAGAGGCTTGCTGGAGATCGGGTGTGGGGACAGGGTGAAAGTCTAGGGTCAGACATTGTACCCAATCCTACCACTGTCCTTTCTGAGCTGAGGCAGAACCTACTTAAAATCTGAAAGGAGCGTTCAAGGAGAATAAACAGTTCTGAAGAAAAGCTTAGCAGCTGCTCATGAGATCTTTGCTGTTATTATCAAGCTAATATTCTTTCAACTCAGCACAAGATCATCTTATGCATGTGTGGAGAATGAAGAAGAGAAAATTTCAGTGCAAGAGAATATTTGAAGGTGAAGTTTAGTTCTAGTTTCGGCATATCTGCAGTGGTCCTCAGAATGCCACAGAAACGATTATTTAAAACTAGTGGGAAGATGGTGTTAGACTTTTATCCTCAGTCTGATGCTTTAAAAAAAAATCAATCTGCTCACCATATTTCCTGCCTTGAAAAAACTTCATATTTATAGCTCTTCATTGTGTCATAAGTGAAGAATGTAAATAAATAAGACGAGGGTGGGAGTTGCAAGCCAAAGACATTCTGTTAAGAGGAAATACAGCAGCCTGTGGCCCATGTCACACTTGGAACAGAAGGATGTTAAAGTTATGGATGAGGAGGATTTTGAATCAAATTAAAACACACTGTAGTTTATGCTGGCACTGTGAGTCACAGCTCTCCACTTTCAAAAGAACCTGGACAGTGCATTTAAACCTGATATTCTTGGGGTCAAGGTCCAACTGAGACCCAGAAGATGTTCTAACCATAAGTCATTTGAAAAACTATTCCAAGGCAAGGCGTGGTAGCACATGCCTTTAATCCCAGCACTCTCAGAAGGCAGAGACAGGTGGATCTCTGTTCCTTTTGCCTGTATACTGTCTGTCTGATTCTTATATGAGGTGAACTGTGACTATTTAGAGTTAAAATGTGGTATCTGCTCAGTCATCCCTGGTCACTATTAATGAGAGTTCCATTTCCTTCCTAATATCATATGTAGTTTGACTGCCATTCTGGCTCTTTCCACTGAAAAATTGCTCTTTTCAACCCTGTTTCTGGAATTCATGACTATTCTCCTTATTCTTACTGCTCTGGTGAGACAGGATGAAGGACGCCACAGCACATCACAGTCACTATGAACAGAAGTATTTTTGCATGGTTGGATATAGTGATGAGTTAGAGAGAGTTCAGCTATGGTCTTCCTTTTACCCCAAGTTGTAGGAGGGGCCTGTGGGGATCGTCCAGAATACTGACCTGGAGACTTCTGTGCAGGCGCTCCAGTCTAACACGACCTACTTCCTCAAATTGCTAACCTGATAACTGCCGCCCAGGCTTGAGACAGATAATTCCATGGCCACGCCAATAGACAATATACAGCTCAACTCTCAGGGCCAATGGGGGAGGTTTGGGGGGTATATAGGAAATCCCTTTGTACGCAATAAACGAGCTTGCTTGCTTACTACCGAGTGAGTCTCCCAAAGTCTGCACAGTTGATTTCGCACCTACTCTCCTCCTGCCCCCAACAGAGAGTCCTCAAGCAGCTAGCCCACTAAAACAGTCAACAACAACACCAAGTCTTTTGAACCTTTTTAGAGGAGGCAGCAAACTTTTCTTCTAAATGCCTAGAGAGTAAAGGTTTTAGGGTTCACAGCTCATGTGGTTTCAGGTACTTAGATCTGTTGAAGTATGAAAATGTCATGACAATAAAGAAATATGTCTGCCTTTGTGCCAATACAACTTTATTCGTAGAAGAAGTTGTGAGCCTAACTTGACCCACTGGTCTTAGTTTCTAGATCCCTATTTTAGTTCAGTAAACTTCAAAATTATTTTTATTTATTTATTTATTTATTTATTTATTTATTTATTTATTTATTTTTTATTTATTTAGAAGGAAGAGTTGTGGGATAGAAAGCACTGAAATAAAGAAAAATCATTACGATGGCTTCTCATCAGCTTCCTGACAGTAGTTCTTAGCGTAACCACCATTTCTTTGGTTTATGGAGCACAAGTGAGATCATAGCACATGATAAACACATGCAGGAGACTGCAGCTCAGCCACTGCCTTAGAAAAGCCTGTTGAACAGAAAGCTGCATCATTAACAATGGCAGCATTTGATCTAACTTACCAGTCTTGTACAGCATTGAAGGATTCTTCATTTGTGATGTCATACATTAAAATGAAGCCCATGGCCCCTCGATAATAGGCTGTGGTGATAGTCCTGTATCTTTCCTGGCCTGCTGTGTCCTAAAAAATAATAATAACAATATCTTATAAATAGGTAGTACGCCTTTTAGAAGTGATTGAAGTGATTAATAATCCCAAAGCATTCACAACAACTGATTGCAAAGGTATAATGTCCAATGACATAAAATAAAATTTAATTAATTAAAAAGTTTAAAACTTCCTTTAAAAATTATAGAAAATTAAAAAAAAAACCCAATTACACCTAACTGAAATTTCTGGTTCTTTGCACAGATAAAAGCCAGAGGACTACCCCAGATCCATCATTATATCTTTACTGCCTGTCCGTGAAAACCAGCTGTTGTGAGGATGAAAAGGAGCTTATGAACCCAAGGAGCTTACAGTTAGTTCGATGTTAGTTGATTCAACTGTAAAATGACAATAAAAACACCTTCCTTAATGTCTGAAGCAAATGAGCAGATCTTTGAGTTCCTGCTCTCCTATTAGATGCCTGGGGGTCACTGACAACTACCCAAACTTTTGTAAATGAAATCCCTCTAAAGCTTAGCATATAAGTTAGGGTTCCAGAGCTGCCCACACAGCACAAGATAAATACATAAGTGCTTGCTGTTGGTCCTGAAATGTGGAGCAGGCTAACCCAAGTCTGGAGATGGGTTATAGCTTACAAATACAGGGGCTTTTATAGCCCGCAAAAGGCATGACAGGTGACAGTGAAATGCAGGACTCAGACATGGACATCATCTAAAGACTGCAGTGTATCACTGATAAAGTAGCTGAAGAACTTGCTCCTGGATTCACCAGAGCTTCTGCTTTTGTCCTTTCAGAATCTGAGGTATCATTTTTAATGCAAATCCATTTTGGCCTTCCCCTTTACTATTCTCCTTGGTAACTTCTCTTTCCTTGTGCTTTTTAGGAACTTGGCATTTTGTTTAGGAATGAACTTCATTCTAACTTCAGTATGGAATCTCTTCCTCCACTTATCCCTGAGATGCCGCCTTCACATGCAGAGTGCATCCTAGACCCCTCTAAGGTTTAGTGGGCCTTGAAGAGAGAGCTAGTATGTTGAATGATACAAGAACAGCTCCCATAAAAATGACACTGAAATCTTATGGAGCCTATGTTGGATACGTAATTTTCACCTGTTGGCATCTTCCTACTTGCATCTTAACACCCACCATGTTAACAGTGAGGAACATAGGATTGCTTAGAGCTCACTACTAATCTGTGTGGCATATTATTTGGACTCCTGTAAACTTAGAAGAGGATGACTAAAGGAATCAATGAATTGGTCTTAGAACATGTGGGATATGAAATAGAACTGAAATAGTCAAGGGTGTGGCTTCATGAAGCCCAGAAGAACATACACTACTCTTAGAAAGGGAGAGGAATGGCTTGATTACAAGCAGTATTAGAGAAAATGAAGATTCAGAGGTAGGATGAAACAGATTAGAGTTTTCAAAAGAACAGAAGTAATGCAAAACCCATGGGCAAGACTTTCAGAACCTATTTCCAGTGGCAGAAAAAAGGAAAGTAAAATGGGTCTAAATGGAGATATGTTAGTATTTTATTAGGAAAAATGGCAATTAATATCTTTCCTTGGTAAAGTACTAATAAAAATCATTAAAAATGTATATTCCAATTGTAAATGGCTAATTAGTCAAAAGTTGAATCCTAACCATATTAGAATAAAATCTTATTTTATTTTGCTTTGCTTACTGTTTTTAAATATAAAAATGTAGATGCTAGGGATATCATAAACTGCTTATAAATGGAATAGGTATATTAATTGATTAGGTAGAAAGAAGCTATTGAGACTTTTTGTGTGTTTTCAGAAAATCATTGGTCTTGATTTAGTTAACAGTAACTCTAACTCTGAAATGAAGATCAGACCATGTATATAACCAGAGCAAAATTCCTTAAGACTTTGTTCAAAAAAGCGAGGAAGATGAAATTGGGTGTCCTGAAGTGAGGTGTGTATGCCTTTGGGATTGTAGTAGAATGCAATGATATGAAGGGGGAAAGGGAGCATCAGACTATGAAGGGTTAAATGGGGTGGTAAATGGAAGGGTAGGCAGAGGAGGGAGTATTGGAAAGCATATGGATACCTAACTCTATAGAAGCTTCTTAAAGTATATACATACACAGTATGAAAAGAGATTAAAAGGAGTTATCCTGTAACAGGGGAACATTGTCCTTTTTAGACATCATTGGCTGATAAAAACAAACAAACAAACAAACAAACAAACAAACACCCTCAATGCCAGGAATGGAGTCCCTCTCTAGAAGCTGTTGATCAGGGATCCCCAGAAATCCTCAAATGATACTGACCATTGTCCCTGCTCTTGGTTACCCACCAGAACAAGCTGGTAAGGTCCTATTGTTGAAGATACTATATACGTGAACTGTAGAACAAACAAGCAGGTAATGGCTTCAGAGCCTCATCTTTACTGGCTAACATCCATAGTGCTGGAAGGTGCTATCCATGCTACCAGGAGGAAAAAAATAGTCATCAACCTTACCCAGCTGTAAATCCTGTGAACTTCAATAACAACTGTCCTGGCAAGATATGCCCATTGGTGTAATAATGGTGCAAATATTATGGGAGCAACCAAGTACTCTTAACTAAATTTAAGGTCAACTTTCTAGGTTGGAGCCCATACCTGACATTAATATCAAGCTTAGGAACCTGAGGCTAGACAGGTCACACAGGGTAGAACTTAATACTTGTCTCTACTAAATGGTTATCATATTAAACTGACTTCTGATGACTTATTGTTATACCCATTAGATTAGTGCATCTCTCAATTTTAAGCAGAGAAGTTTCTTGATGGAACAGACTCTGATTAACACAGAAACCCACAACAGGCCAATGATCAGAAAATACAAGACGACAGAGTACTTGTGCCTGAATAGGACACCTATATCAAACTTCTGCCTCCCAAGGCTCAGGGATCCTTGTGGAAGAGGGGGCAGAAATATTATAAAAGCCAGAGGTAGTTTTCCAGAAAGCTTTGCAGATACTCATATGAACTCACAGCAATGGTGACAGCATGCATATGTCTCATGCAAGCTCAGACCAAAAAAAAAAAAAAAACCCCAGCATAGACATGAAGAAGTGGATAAGTCACTCCAACCCCACCTAAGGAAGTTGTGGCAACTGATGGCTGCTGAGAGGGGTAGAGACAGTCTCTTTCAAGCATGGCACTCTTGGTAAGTTAACTAGGCACCAATGGATGGACCCACACTGAAGGACATTTGGAGACACAAATTAGACTCTATAGGCCTTATAATACATAAGAGAGCACATTAAATTGGGTGGGTGGGCAATAAGGAGAGGTGGAATTAGGGAGGGGATCTAAATACCATCAAATTATATTGTATGAAACTTGCAAATATTCAATTAAAAATACTTTTAAAAACAAGGAAAAATAAAAGATTTTGTAATATGTTTTGAATTGCTGTGCTGAGTCGAACCCCTTATTACTATTCAATTTATTTAAAATGTTTTCCACATTTGTCTTGACTTCCTACTTCCCAGAATACATTACGTATAAATACCCATTGTCAAGTAACTTTAAATGCCCTTCTTTACTTTCTTGACAAAACACCTTTCAGGCATTGACTGAATAGCACTGTTAGCAAGCTAAGGACTCCAGGCCTGCCACCTGCTCTGCACAACAAACAGCTTTCCACTAATTTCTTCACAGAGAACAATGAACACACTGCAGACACTGATGAAAAGGATGAAGACTCTTCTAGCCAAGTGTGTTTTCACCACAGACTCTGAAAAATGCTGTGTTGAAAAACTGGGTCATTTCCTTCCTTCCAGAACTTTTCTGGTGATGGTTTCCCCTTTTCATAAGATGTCAATTTTATTATGATGGTAAAGAGACTTGTTCTACTGTATAAAATATGTCAGATTCCTACAACTAGACTTAAGTGGACGCATTTACACTGAAGGACATTTGGGGTAGAAATGCCTGAATGACTAGGGATTAACATGTATGGCAGAATATATGAGGTTCAGTGAGGGGGTGGGGGCAGCATGGATGACGGATGGGATCTAAATTTGATTAAGAACTCTTGTATTATATTACAAAAGCTCAATAAAAAGTTTTTTTTTAAAAAGTCAGTTTCACACTGTGTGTTTATTTTAATCTGAGAGAACAAAAATCATTGCTTCATTATATTGTAACTGATATGTCACAGGAAGCTGCTAGAAACCACAGGCTCCAGTAGCCATCATACTTGGAGATGAGAAAAACAGGAAAACAACTTTTAAGAAAAAAAAAAGTAGAAGAAGCTTTCAGACAGGGCTTGAGTCACAGCAAGGGGCCTCATCTCCAATATCATTATGATTGAACCCAGAAATACAATCTGATTGGAAGTATTTGTTACCTAAAAGCTCTCAGGGAGACTAAGAACATGTACCAAGTAAGGGAAATGCAACAAAAACAGAGGAAATTTCCTCCCCAAACAAGGAAAATACAAAGAATAAATAAAACTAACTTAATAATCTCACATCAAGCTGTCTCTGTACTGATTTTAGATATTGAAAGCAATTACTGCATTGCAAACTCATTACCATTTTCTTCTGTTATATCAGGAAGAAAATAAGTCAGAAAAACACTTCATTACATTTGACATTTACTAATGATGATAAAGGTTATATTTGAAATAAAGGACCATTTTATAATGTCAAATGGCACTAATATAATTAAGTGTGAATGGCCTTAGAAGAGAGCTGACAAAATGGTGCCTCTTCTTGCTGTGCTCCAAGCAGGGCTTCATTCCCTCTCCTGGAGTTAGAGTTGACCTCTGCCCTAGTTTACTGACAGCTTGGAATATGTGCTGATTTTCCATAAATAGTCTTCTCATGATTGAAAAATGCAATTGGCAATCTTTTATAGAGGAAACAAAGGATAGAGATGTGATTACAAGGTGAAAGAAATTTCTTCCATGAGTAATTGTCCTCTTACTCTCTTTTTAAAGAAAAAAAACCTATTTTAGTTTAAATATTTTGATATGCAAATTATGTTTCA